GATATTCTCGCATCAAGATTCGATTGAGATGGGAATATCTTAAATATAAAAATTTAGATTATCTAAAAGAAAATGTGATTTTATTGCAGTGAACTCCTCCATATACACTGCAACATTGTGGTGTATCTGAACGGAGGAATCGTTAACTATTAGATATAGTCCAATTAATAATGAGTCATGCAAATCTCCCAAAATCGTTTTGGAGTTATGCACTGATTTCATTGTGCTACACACTAAATCAAGTCTTATCTAAGTTGGTTAACAGAACTCCGTAAGAGCTATGGAAAGGCAATAATCTAACTTATTTCATATGAAAGTTTGGGACTGTGACGCTTATTTGAAGCACATTGAATCGGATAAACTTGAGCATATATATATATCCGATGAATACGTATTTGTGGGATATCCAAAATAGATTTTTGGATATCAGTTCTATTAATCGATTGAGAAGAAAGTCTTCGTCCAGAACATATCGCCCTCTGAGAGAAAATGTTTACTCTGGGAGAGGACAGTGGGAGTAAAATAGAACTTGAAAGAGTTTGAAAGTCTACAGATATAATTAACCAAATAGATGAATTCGAGTTTTATCCCATATCTGATATGGGATGGACATACTCTTAATCAGGGAGTAGAGACTCTTGAGGATGTGTCAGCTCTATGTGAGTTTAGTATGATCATTCGACCTTTAAGAAGGTGCGAATCCACGATTACTAATCAGGTATTACTGATCCAGGATGATGAACTTACTAATTGCACACAAATAAAGTCAAGTGTTGACTTAAAATAGATGGTAAGAGGCCATAAAACTCGAGATGAACTCGACGTATGTGAACAAGGTTTGGACCTTGGTCAACCCTCCTAATGGGATAAAACTCATAGGTTGTAAATGGTTTATAAGGAAAATGTTGACATGGATGGGAATATACATACATACGAAGCAAGGCTAGGAGCAAAAGATAACAAACAAAGCCAATGTGTTGACTTTGATGAAAACTTTCGCTTGTAGCCATGTTGAGATCCATTCAGATTTTGGTTGCAATAGTTGCATACTGTGACTATGGGTTAAAACGAATCTTTTGAAGTTGAAATCTTCGATTTGATGGAAAAATAAAATGTTTGATTTTATTAAATATGAGGATGAATTGTGTGTTTGCAAGAAGAAAGTGGGAGCATTGTCACATTCCTAAGATTATATGTAAGACATATTATTAATAGGAAATGACATCCCTACATTTCAATCATTGAAATTATGATTGTTAAATGATTTATTCATGAACGCTATGGGGAAGCAACTTGATCTACAGAGATAGATTTAAAAGATTGCTTAACTCGTCCCAATCTATATAGATAAAATCTTATCAAGATTTTATATGGAGAAATTTGTTTACTCTTAAACGGTGTATTGGAAAGGTTCCGAACACGAAACAATCGTTGATTCAATAGCGAAAACCTAATACATGATTGTTTCGAAAGTAGCAAAGAGTTGCAATGTAAATCAAGATGTTCATTAATGAACTTGGAGTAGTTCCCAATATTGTTGATCACATACCGTTGTATTGTGATAACAATAGAGTCATCGCGAAGGCAAATGAACTAAGGTCTCATTAATGATCCAAACATGTATTAAGGTGGTACAATCTACTCAGAGAGATAATACATAGAAATGACTAAAGAAAAAAATGAATTTTCACATTTGACAATATTGTAGATCCACTGACAAAGAGTTGTCGTAGCATAAACATGATAGTCATGTAGGCTCTTATGATATTGAATACATAAGTGATGGGATCTAATGCAAGTGGGAGTTTGTAAGTGTTATGTACTAGGTCCAATCAATCTTGGATATAAATACTTTTAATATATAATTAATGCAATTTAATGACAGATCTATTATTTAATTAATAGATAATTAAAATAAATAATAGAGTCCGTATATTCAAATTTTCATAATTTGTTAATTACAAGGTGTTGTGATTGTAATATACAAATTACATATGATTGAATCTTAAATCGTCCGTGGTCGTAAGCAATAACGAGATATGAATATTCTTATTACAGATAGACCATCACGTGTGACATTTCTTACTTGTGAAGTAAGTAGTTGATTGATGAGTGTAATTCACTCATTAAACTAAAGCTTCTAAATCACATTTTTTGATGTGTTTTTAAGCATTTTTGAACGTTTTGATGTGTGTGTTAGTGTTGTTTTGCAGTTTGGACAACTCTCAAGAAAATACCACTATTGGGAGCCTGTGATGAGCAAAAAATGATGATCAATGAAATGGAGCATGAATAAGCAAGTTATGAATAAGATTGGAGTGGAAAATAGGCTTGGAAAACAAAGAGAAGAGAAACAAAGCAGTGGCACTGGCGCCGAAAAAGGGGCGCCAAAGAGATGAAATTCCAGCAGAACCTTGGGCGCCACGGCGCCCAATGAAGAAAAGAAGGAGCAGAAAATTGGTCCCCCCGGCGCTAGACCTGGGCACCATGGCGCTAGTTAACATGAGAATCGTGGCGCCATGCTTGGGCGCCGTGGCGCTAAATCCCAAAACGTTAAAACCCGAATTTTTAATTATCTTTTCGGCCCAAAAATCATACCCTAACCCTCGAGGACTCTTAGAAAATATAAATACCAAGATGAAGAACAAGAGAAGGGGGTTAGACGGCTGAAGAGGCAAGAAAAAGAAAGGCACCAATTGAGAGAAGATCGACCCGATTTTGGAGAAGAAGAAGGGAGAAACTGAGAAATCAAGCAACAAGATTGAGAAATAGAGCAGCAACCTGAGTTTTTTCTTATCTTTCTCTTCTCCATGAGATTTAATTTGTATTATATCATGTGCTTGTTCTAAATCATAAACTAAGTTATTAAATCTAGGGTTTGATGTAACCTATTTGAGACATGATTCAATTCATTTATAGTATTTCCATTTAATTTTTCAGAATTGATTTGTATTGTTCTTGCTTAATGCTTTGATCACCAATTGAATGAATTAATGTTCTAAATTTGACGCTCGAGAGAGGGAAATTTAGGCCTGATCTAAGAACAATATAACCTAGGTTTGTAGGTTTCGAGAGAAAGTACGAATCTTTGAGGGTAAAACAAGAACCAAGTGCGTAATAATCTTTATATATTTAATTCGGAATAGAGCTATTGGGGTTAAAATATAGAGATAGGTTCTATTTGACGCTCGAGAGGGGAAAATAGAATTAATTTAGGATTCTTGTCTATGAATTCGGGAAATAGTTGACGGAAATATCTATAGGGATTGAGAATTATGTTGAGAATACGGTGAAATCATTCCCTAGACATTACGTAAGTTTGATTTAGTCTTTAAAAATTGCCTCACTTTTATTGCACTATTTAATTCATTGACGTTAGTTTAGTATTCAAACATTAATTTAACACTCGATTGTCTAGATAAAGTGAACGCGGACACAATTATAGTACTCAGTGAAAGTCGAATATCAATCCCTGTGGGTTCGACACTTTTCAATTCTTTAATATACTACAAAACTTGACACCGTACGCTTGCGGTATAAAATCACGTTCCATGAATCGCGTGGCAAGTTTTTGGCACCGTTGCCGGGGATTGATTCATTCGAATTCAATTGATATTATTACCAATCGGCGTTCATTTTACTCTAGATTTTTATTTTTACCGTAATTTTTATTTTACTCTTTTTGTGTCTATCTTTAAAAGCTTCCCTATGATTATTTTCAAGTGTTTATGCGATGGGCGAGAAATCTAGATTTACTACCTGTTGATCCTGAACCAGAACGCACATTTCGCATTCTCAGAGGCATACAAAGAAACAAACATGAAGCAATGGCAGAACAGGATGCTAGAGCAGCTAATAAGGATAACCAACAAAGGGCTATTCGGGACTACATAAGGTCCGTTGTCAATGACAACTATTTCGGCATCGCACACCCAGCAATTGCTGCAAACAATTTCGAATTGAAGCCAGGGTTAATACATATGGTGCAGCAAAATCAGTTTGGGGTGCTGCAGTAGAAGACCCAAATGCTCATCTTGGATCATTTTTGGAAATTTGTGACACGGTGAAGATGAATGGGCTTACTGAAGATGCAATTAGACTTCGCCTATTCTCATTCTCTTTAAGGGATAAAGCAAAGGCTTGGTTCCAATCACTACCGTATGACTCAATTACAACTTGGGATGATTTGGCTCAGAAATTCCTCACCAAGTACTTTCCACCTTCTAAATCAGCTCAACTTCACGGTGAAATTAGCCAATTCAAACAACTCGACTTCGAGCCATTCTATAAAGCCTGGGAAAGATTTAAAGATTTGCTTCGGAGATGTCCTCAACATGGGCTCCAGATATGGGTGCAAATTGAGATATTTTATAATGGACTAAATGGGCAGACAAGGACTATGGTAGATGCAGCTGCGAGAGGCATTTTAATGGCTAAAACAGCAGAGGCTGCATATGCTTTATTGGATGACATAGCCACCAACAGTTACCAATGGCCAAGTGAGAGATCGGGTATAAAAAAAGTAGCAGGACTTCATGAAGTGGATCCCATCACCGCACTAGCAGCTTAGGTTACATCACTCACAAATCAGATAGTCACGCTTACCACTTAAGGAAATCAACAGAAGGTAGATTCAGTCATGAGTACTTCTTCTTCACACCAAGAGACAGAGGTTGCAAACGAGCAGGCCCAATATGTCAACAGTAGAAACTACAATCAAAGAGGAAGCTACCAAGCTAATCACTATCATCCAAGGCTGAGAAATCACGAGAACTTATCATATGGCAACAATAGAAACACACTTCAACCTCCACCTGGATTCAACACTCAGAATTCTGATGGGAAACCACCCTTGGAAGACATCCTTGGGACGTTCATTTCTGAGACAAGATCATGCTTCAACAAAGATGAATTACGGTTGGATAATATTGAAACACGTGTCCAACATGGGAGCCACAATGAAGAATCTTGAAGTGCGAATTGGCCAATTGGCTACCTCAATGAAGTCTCAGCAAAAAGGAAAATTTCCCAGTGACACTGAGGTTAACCCACGGGAACAATGCAATATGATCACTCTAAGGAGTGGTAAAATGGTTGAAGAAAGCAAACCTAAGAAGATTATGGTGCCTACGTCGGATGTCATAGTTACAGAGGAAAGGCGGAGTGAAAGGTAAAAAACTGAGGCAGAGGGTACAAAGATCTATAAGCCTTACTCGATCTCATTTTCGGACAACCCACCAATCTTGAAGCCCCCACTACCATTCCCGCAGAGGTTCATGAAGAAGAAATTTGATGACCAATTTGCAAAATTCCTGGAAGTCTTCAAGAAAATCCACATCAACATTCCCTTTGCAGAAGCTTTGGCCCAAATGCCTAACTACGCCAAATTCTTGAAGAAAGTGATGTCAAATAAGAAGAAGCTGGAGAAGTTCGAGACAATTAAGCTAACAGAGGGGTATAGTGACATACTTCAGAAGCTTTCTCACAAATTGAAAGATCTGGGCAGCTTCAACATCCCATGCAATATTGGTGGTATCACATTTGATAGGGCACTGTGCGACCTTGGAGCTAGTATAAACCTGATGCCCCTATCAGTGTTCAAAAAGCTAGGTCTTGGAGAAGTGAAGCCCACAACCCTCACTTTGCAACTGGCGGACAGATCGATCACATATCCCAAAGGCATGATTGAAGATGTATTGGTGAAGGTCGATAAGTTCATCCTTCCTATGGACTCTGTGATGTTGGACATGGAAGAGAACGATGAAATACTGTTGATTCTTGTCGACCTTTCCTAGCTACTGGAAGAGCATTGATTGATGTCTAGGAAGGAAAATTGACACTACGGGTTAATGAAGAGCACGTGACTTTCAACATCCATCAAGTAGAAAAGCCCCAAGAAAAAGTCAACATTTGCAATATGGCCCAATCGGCTGAAGCAGCTTTGGGTCACAGAGAAAAAAAGGAAGTGTTCTATGACCCTTTAGAATAATATATGGCTCTCAATTACTTAGTAAGGGATGCATCTACTGATGACAAATACTGGGGAGCCGAAGAAGTAGTGGATTTCATATTCACCCAAGAAGCGGATCCACCTGACAAAAAAGAAGGCTATGTGGCTAGGCCTTTGAAACCTCCAAACATTGTCAAACTAAATGAGGTTTTGAAGGCTACATCGAGGTTTAAACCGCCTGATTTTATTGGCCATGCTACGGTGAAGGAGAATGCAAAGCCAAGGGCAAAATTCAGAAACAAGAAAGATGCTCCACGCGAAGATCCACCATAGACACCTTGGTTGAGTCAAGCTAGTGACTATAAAGAAGCGCTTCTTGGAAGGCAACCCAAGCTTTCATCTTTATTTATTTATTCTGTTTTTGAATTTTAGGATAATTTATTTTATTTCAGAGTTGTTATTTAGGAATTCATCAACCTTACCCATCCCTTAGGTTTTTGAAAGATCAAGTTGGTTATCGATGTTTGAGCTAAGTGCCACTTGTTCCATGAGTTTAATATCTATATTGTGATTTTTTAGGAACATGACATCGCAGATCAATCAAACAACATTGACAAGGAGAAGCTGGATAAATCTCAAGTTTGGAGGGAAAGCTAGAAGAAACATCCATCAAATTCAACATTAGTGCACCAAATCATCGTTGGCAATTCAGACAATTTAGGGAAGTCCTCCTCTTTTTCTTTTAATTTAACATTGGGGATAATGTTTAGTTTAAGTTTGGGGGGGAATGTATTATAAATTGTCTAATTGCCAAAATTTTTGCAATTTTTTTGATTTGTGTGTTTTTTTTAATTATTTGTTTGTTGGCAATGATGTATAATATTAAGAACATGTATTGGTTCATGGATCACAGATAAGTTATATGTGTGAGTTAGATTTTTGCTTATTCATGTGAAATGGAAACTATTTTGCACGTGGGTTGATTGTAGTGTTGTACATGAGTAGGTTGATCCATGTTTATAGGTTGAATAAGAGAACTTAGATGCTAAACCCAAACAACCTTTAAACATTATTATACCTTGAACCAAATATAGGATATTTGGTAGATTAAGTTGTTGCAGGAAAACTTGGAGATAAATGTGGATTCCATGTGTGCTAAATTTTGTGTGGATTGTCTGAGACTAATAGGATGAAAATTGGGTGAAAACTTTAAGTTAGAGGTCGATTTTCAAGAATAGGTGTTTAATAAGGGGCATTGCACTAATCATTACATAAAAAATATCCCAATGAGGACAACTTTAATAATCTCATTGTGAATCGTCTCTTCGTAGCCTTTATGACTCGAGTGATTAAACCTGTAAGAGTTTAAAACCTGGTGTCCTAAAGTCGTCTGATTTGGGAGTCATCGGCCTAAAGCTCGTTACAATGGTCATTTAGAAAGCTTGAGGGAGTGACGTCCACACAAAGGGTGTTTAAAGAATACATATATTAAAAAAATTTAAATATCACATATTTTGATTACGCCCCGAACACTTGTTTTAGAGGATTAAACCTTTGATGAGAGGTTAGTAACTTAGTTGATTCCTAGAGGTTGAAGCAGTCAAAAATAAGGAGAATTCTCATCTGTTGATAGGTTGAACTGCAATAGTGAAATCTAACCAAACTTGAGCGGTGTAAGAAATTAGCAAAAAGAAAAAAAAATCAACTTTAGAATACACCTTGAAAAGAGAAAAGAAAACAAGTTTTGGGGTGTGTGAACCCCACAAGCGAAGTAAGGAAATATTTGACTTTTAAGGTTGGAAATTGGGTCAATTTATTATTGTACAGCGTTATGCTTAACTCTCCACACACACACCCGTTTGCATTGAATGAGCGAGGATTTGATGCGTGCATTATAGTTTTGAAGTACTTCATGAATTTGATGCTGTGTTTTTAATCTTGAGCTATAAATGCAAGGTGTCTAACATAAAGTTTCTTTTGAGTGACTTTGTCTGTCTTGGTCGTGTTTTTGTGCTCGTTAATAATTATCTTTAGTTTTGTGTTTGCTCGAGGACAAGCAAAGAACTAAGTTTGGGGGTGTTTGATCAGTGTAATTCACTCATTAAACTAAAGCTTCTAAAACACTTTTTTTGATGTGTTCTTGAGCATTTTTGAACGTTTTGATGTGTGTGTTAGTGTTGTTTTGCAGTTTGGACAACTCTCGAGAAAATACCACTATTGGGAGCCTGTGATGAGCAAAAAATGATGATCAATGAAATGGAGCATGAATAAGCAAGTAATAAATAAGATTGGAGTGAAAATAGGCTTGGAAAATAAAGAGAAGAAAAGCAAAGCAGTGGCATTGGCATTGGCGTTGGCGCCCCAGCGCCGAAAAAGGGGAGCCAAAGAGATGAAATTCCAGCAGAACCTTGGGCGCCACAGCGCCCAACCTGGGAGCCCAATGAAGAAAAGAAGGAGCAGAAACTTGGGCACCACGACGCCAGACCTGAGCGCTGGTGCCGCGACGCCAGTTAACATGAGAATCGTGGCGCCATGACGCCATGCTTGGGCGCCGTGGCGCCAAATCCCAAAACGTTAAAACCCGAATTTTTATTTATCTTTTCGGCCCAAAAATCATACCTTAACCCTTGAGGACTCTTAGAAAATATAAATACCAAGATGAAGAACAAGAGAAGGGGGTTAGACGACTAAAGAGGCAAGAAAAAGAGAGGCACCAATTGAGAGAAGATCGACCCGATTTTGGAGAAGAAGAAGGGAGAAACTGAGAAATCAAGCAACAAGATTGAGAAATAGAGCAGCAACCTGAGTTTTTTTCTTATCTTTCTCTTCTCCATGCGATTTAATTTGTATTTTATCATGTGCTTGTTCTAAATCATAAACTAAGTTATTAAATCTAGGGTTTGATGTAACCTATTTGAGACATGATTCAATTTATTTATAATATTTCCATTTAATTTTTCAGAATTGATTTGTATTGTTCTTGTTTAATGCTTTCAGTTGCCTGATCACCAATTGAATGAATTGATGTTCTAAATTTAACGCTCGAGAGAGGGAAATTTAGGCCTGATCTAAGAACAATATAACCTAGGTTTGTAGGTTTCGAGAGAAAGTACGAATCTTTGAGGGTAAAACAAATACCATGTGCGTAATAATCTTTATATATTTAATTCGGAATAGAGATATTGGGGTTAAAATATAGAGATAGGTTCTATTTGACGCTCGAGAGGGGGAAATAGAATTAATTTAGGATTCTTGCCTATGGATTAGGGAAATAGTTGACGGAAATATCTATAGGGATTGAGAATTATGTTGAAAATACGGTGAAATCATTCCCTAGACATTACGTAAGTTTGATTTAGTCTTTAAAAATTGCCTCACTTTTATTGCACTATTTAATTCATTGACGTTAGTTTAGTATTCAAACATTAATTTAACACTCGATTGTCTAGATAAAGTGAACGCGGACACAATTATAGTACTCAGTGAAAGTCGAATATCAATCTCTGTGGGTTCGACACTTTTCGATTCTTTAATATACTACAAAACTTGACACCGTGCGCTTGCGGTATAAAATCGCGTGGCATTGATCTCACAAGCTAAAGTGTGGTAACATTTGAATGAACACGTGGATGTTTTGTTATAGAACAAAATATTGAAGACCTGCCTAGAGATTCTACATAGATAACTATCTAAGTGTCAGTGGTTAATCTCTAACGTTCGATAGTGGGATTGGTCATTTGACTTGAGGTCGTCATAGTACCTTAATGAGAACAGTCATGCTGATGGTGTTGGATGTTGCTCTGCCAAGGGCCGCTAATACGGTATCATTCGGGTATGTCAAGAATCGTATGAAGGTTGTGAATGACCAATAGAGGATTCGTCACTCTCTGATAGTAAGAGATTATGATCTGTATTTTATTCAATTAAGCCAATAACGAAATTCTTGACCAAGGTATACTCATAAGTCGAAAAAGAGTTTTTGACTTATATTAACTTAATAGTGGAGTGAAATAATGATTGATAATCGAGAGTGACACACTTCCATATCTCGTAATTGATCGGATCATATTGACGAAGGGATTATAGTTTCACGGTAAACAAACGAGTTTGGTTTTGTCATACCACGTGACATTTTTCATCACATGTATTGCCCTGACACATTGCTAGATGTCAATCTGGGACGACGAGTGTGAATTGGTAATAAATTAAATAGGGTGTTTTAATTTATCAATTTTGATTAGATCAAAATAATATTTTATATCGTTAGGCATAGTGATCGGGAACTTGATGGGTCACACACGAAAAGGAGAACTGGAAGATTGTGATTTGTCAATTAATTAATTTAACAAGTGTTGGATAAATTAATTTGTTAAATTAATTGAGTTGCTTATTTATAGGCCTGAATTGATCGCCCAAATTTAATTAAACGGGTTAATTAAATGTTGGACCGGGTTAGGTCAAGTCCGTTCGGGCTTATATAAATATGATTAGGGTTTTCAAAATTGTAAATATTTCTCATTATTCTTGCTAGCACAAGAAAAATCCTAATACTACAATTTTGTTCTCCGTGTGGATCATCGTTGGAGGCTAGACAATTGGATAGCTGTGGGTGACAGATCAAAGCTGCTGGAATAAGGGAAAAGCAAAGGAGTTTGTAGATCTCGTAAAAGGTACAATCTTTATCACAGTTTCTATCTAAATACAAAGACGATTGTTGGTGAGAATCGAAAATTATTTTAATTTTCCCTGCACATGTTAAGTAGATTCCCAACATCTTTTGCTTCGATTTTGCCTGCACTAGTGAATCCCACAACATAATGAAAAACAACCATTTAACACTACCAA